AGAAATTGGCAACATTCGCGCAGCACAAATACCGGTATATGTAACATCTCTGGTCTCTTTTATCTAAGACATAGACCAAAACAAGCTCCGCGTGCTCCTAACGGTCGAAATTTAACTTAGTAAAACTTTGGCCGTTGTGTAGTATGGTTTGCTGCTTCATGTAAGGTAAGAGCATTTTACGTAATTTCCCTCGTTTTTTGGGGTAAAAGCTAAGCATTGCTGTACCTCCACTATTAGATATATTTATTCCATTTTTGTGATAGGTGTTACTAAGGGCCTTATAAACAGATTTAGTTGTCTACTAGCGTTGAAACTGTAATAGATTTTTTTATCAACGAAAAAATACAACTGGCAATGTTGTCCATATATTAGCAATGTTGTTCATATATTTGGTTAGGTACAAAATTAAACATTATAGGTACATTTGTAACTAAATAGGTTATAATATAAATTTTTTTTATATTCTTTTTAATTTACAGATATAAAGATGCCATTTCGCAACAGAAAAAGTTAGATGCTAGACCCTACCAACGCTACACACAAGCGTTTTAGAACAAGCCGTAAATGCTGTGAATAATGGTATGAGTTCTCGAGACGCAGAAAAACAGTTTAAGGTGCCCCGTCGTACTATTTTAAATAAAAAGAAGGGAAAATATGCAGGTCAAATTGGCCATCCCTTGGCTCTAACTGAAATAGAAGAGCGTCATATTGTTGAGGTAGTTATCGCTAGTGCAGAATATGGTTCCCCGCTAACAACATTGGAGATTAGAATGCTGGTGAAGCAGTATGTAGATTCCAGAGGGATTCGAGTTCTTTTTTTTCCAAATGACAATCTTCCAAGCTGCGAGTGGGTACATGCTTTTGTGAAGCGTTATAAAGACATTTTAACCAATAGACACTGTCAAAATGTTAAAATAGCAAGAGCTGCCAATACAGAAGAAGTGATGGAAGAATATTTTAACAATTTAAAAAATTCTCTTCGAGACGTCGAACCTCAGAACATACTCAATTACGACGAAACTAATCTGACGGACGACCCTGGTAATCAAAAATGTGTTTTTCGACGTGGTACAAAATACCCGGAGCGACATATGAATTCAACAAAAAGTGCAATTTCCCTAATGTTTGCAGCCACTGCAAGTGGAGAGCGATTGCCATTGTACGTGGTATATAAAGCCGAAAGACTGTACGATAGATGGGTTACTGGTGGACCACCTCAAACCTTTTACAATCGTTCAAAATCGGGGTGGTTCGATGCAGCCATTTTTCAGGATTGATTTTTGAAAGTTGTAGTGCCATGGGCAAAAAGAAATACTGACGTTAAAATCGTAATTGGTGATAATTTAGCATCTCACATAAATCTTGAAATTTTAAAAATGTGCCAAAGATTAAGAATAAGATTTGTTTTACTACCGCCCAATTCCACAGGGCTTACACAACCTCTGGATGTTGGATTTTTCCGACCCCTAAAGAGAGCATGGAAGAAAATACCTACCGAACTTAAAACCAAATATAAATGCTATTGAGAAGACCATTTTTCCTCAGTTGTTGTCAAAATTGATCGCAGCAATAGAACCAAATTTTCAAAAAAATATCTGTAATGCGTTTCGGGCAACAGGGATATATCCTATAAATCCTTATGAAGTTTTAAAAAAAATGCCTGCAGAAAGATTCAAGAATAGAGTATGCTCTGAAATTGATAACGCTTTATTAAGTTTCCTCCAGCAAAAAAAAGTGGGGACACTGTAAAAAAAGGAAAAAAGAAACTTCTTAATATTAAACCTGGAGAATCCGTTCAGTGTGAAGAGTTTAATGAAGTTTCTACCTCTTCTGAAGAAGATGATTTTGAACAAGAAAGTCCTGAACAAGTTTGTAATGAAGAAAAGAGCGATTTAGAGATGAGTGACATAGAGGATAATGACATTGAGGCTGATTTAAATAATCACGGAAACAAAAACTTAAATACAGATTTTCTGGACAATATTGAAAATATAGATCCAGTGTTAGACCCAATTAATTTGAAAGTAGGTTTCTTTATTGTGGTTCAATTTCCAACAAAGAAGACCATAAGACACTTTATTGGAACTATTCTTGAAATATCTAAGACTGATGACATTTTTAGAACTAAATTTCTTAGAAAAAGTTAAAAAGGATATTCGTTTCCCGTTATTGATGATATATCAGACGTTACTTTCGTAGACATTATGAAGATTTTGTCGAAACCAACTATAAGTTGAAGAGGATATTATTCTTTTCAAAGGAATATGTGTTCCTTTAACCTTTAATTTTTTGTTTCTTGTTTTGAAAGGCTGTGTTTTAAAGGCTGTTTAGAGGATTTTTTAAGTTTTTAATGGCTGGTATAGAATTAATATAACCTGACTGTCTTAGATTATAGGATCAAAGTTCCTTATTACATTTGGAAGGAGAATAAAAAATATTTACGTTGTTTTCTACTTCAATTTTTAATTAAGAATGTATTGTTTTGTATTTTCCTACTGTTCAATAAAGAAAATATCGAAAATGAAATTTGTTTAATTTTTTTCAAATAAAAAATGCTTTTTTAAAACATAAAACGTGTGCAAAGTTGTCTTATTATGCTTTCAACTTGGCACTGCAACACTTTTTTTGGGGCAGGGCAAAGTTGATTCTCACCAGTACAACTTTGCCCACCACCCTTTTTTTCCTGAATATTTTTTTTTGTAAATACGTAACTATAATCAGGTATATTGGTAACACTTTGCTATTTCTCTAGATAATTTTACAGCTATACATGGTATATACAGCTACATATGGTAGGGTGTACGTAACTATTAAATTTCAAGGTCACAAAAATCGGTTTTTTGCGCTTTTTTTTTTGTAAATATCTCATTTCCTATGGGTTTTTTGCTATTTGTAGAATATTATAGAATACAAAATTCTCTACAAATTTTGTTTAAAAAAATTTTTGATACGGTGAACCGTTTTCGAGATAGAGGGCGGAGAGCGCGCGGTCACAGCATCAACCGGTGCCTCCGGTCGAAAACGCGCCATATATAGTTGATGAACTATCGATAAATCAATGATTATAAATATTTGTCAATTTTTATTAACTTTTATATTATATTTTATCATTTTTTTCCTAACCTATCCACTTTTTATTCAGTATTAATTTATTTAACAACACTTACTTGCCGATATAATTGCAGAATTGTTAATGAAAATATAGGAATTATATTTGAATTTTAACCTAATTAATATTAATAACTTCTACATGATAAAAAAAAAACAAATAAATTATGAATTAATCTTTTTATTAAAAAATATCATTCAATACATTTATTTTTATTAAAAGTAAAAAATGGAATAAAGGGTACAAAAACTACAATTTATAATTTTAATCATCTTCTTCCTCTTCATCGCCGTCTTTTGGCTGCTGGTAAATTTCAAACTGGTCTTCATTATCGTCTTCAACGACATTTGTCTCAAGTTCTTCCATGATTTCGGGGTCAAAGGGTTCCATCTTCGTTAATGTCGCTCTGATATGGTAGAGCATTGAGACAAGCTTGCCCATTACATTGGCCACAAGCTAAAGAGCATTGCAAGCCCGCTTTCCTGCATCCGCATCGCGAACCACAACCACTCTTGCAGTTGCAGAAAATTGTATTTAGCAAATCTTCTGGAGCAGGTGGTAAAATTGTCATGATAGGCTCCAGAAAATCGTTTCGCATTGCCCAACCCCATACCTGGGGTTCCAAATCATGCCCTAACCAAGTTTGAACTTGATAATATACACGTTTGAAATGTTGATGAGCAGCTGCACTTGTTGGTGGAATATTTGAAAGCTGCACAGGTTTATTAAGTTTTGTAGACTTGACGTAATGCATATAACGAAGATGATCGAGACTTTTCACAGATTTCGGAGCATTATAGACTGCCAATAAGGTTTGATTTCCACTCTCTAATAATCTCTGGGCCGAACAATTTTCTTCCTTAAATGCTGCAGCTAGTTCATCCAAATTTGTCAGTTTCTCAAAAACTTTTAAAAATGATTTTTTTCCTTTTTAAAAAGCGCAGAAGTTGTGTCACAACCACTTAATGCGTGCAGAAATAAAATATGTGTTTTGGAATGAGAATAATTATCAAAACTTTTAGTCGAGTATATCTCCGTTTTTACATTTCCTTTCTCAACTTTTTTAAAGAAAATTTCTTCTTCGTAAGACAGTGTACGCCCAATTAAAATGACAAGTAAATCAATATCTTTCCTATTATAACTGCAATTTTTTCAGACTTTGATTCTTCAATTGCAGTTTCAACAATAAGAACATCCGCATCATCTCTGGCTTGTTTAGTAGTAATATTTGCAGCTTGTAATTTTTCAATTAACATATTAATGAGCATATCTTTGTTATTTCGATTTTATAAGAATTTTTCTTGAGTAAATGGTACAACCATTGTTTCATCGAAATAGACTCCATACGTTTTTTGAAAGTGCAGCAGTTCTTCTCTGCTGCTCCATAGCTTTTACGTTCTTACTGTAGTCTGAATTTTTTTAAACAAAATTTGTAGAGAATTTTGTATTCTACAATATTGATAATAAATACAAATAGCAAAAAACCCATAGGAAATGAGATATTTACAAAAAAAAGCGCAAAAAAAACGATTTTTGTGACCTTTGACCTTGAAATTTAATAGTTGCGTACACCCTACCATATGTAGGTTTTGAGACAACTTTTAGGGTGTCAATATACAAGTATTTACAGACTTACAGCTGGGTATCTCGAATTCCGAGATTCTTACCTAATTTAAGCTTAAATGACTGGACTATACAGTCTATCAGCAAGGTGGAGATTGGAAAGTCTATTGAGATTAAATTAAGATCTAAGCAGGGAGAGCGTAAATATTAAATGGAATAGAGTTGTTAATTAACATAACGTTTCCATGATTTATTTCTATGAACAGTTTGGAATCCAGTGAAGCTGTTAATAATTTCAATTTTTACTCATATAAAAGTTTATACCTACGGCAAGTAATACTGGTGTCAAATTCTCAGTGGACGGGTGACTCACGTTTATCTGGACCTTTTCTTTACGACATTTAGCCGAAGGACTTGGACTTGCGCTAGTGCTGCCAGTTGTTGTTGTACTATTACTTCCGTTACTGTGTGGAGATCCGTAGGCTCTTTTTCCTGAAGAACCTCGCCCTCTGTGGATTCGCAACGTGAGTCTTTGTTCATCGAACCTATTACCAATGCCTCTAGAACCTGAAATATACATGTTGGTATAAACATAAAATAACTTACAAAGAATCATAATATTTTTACAATTTAAATATATTTGTATTCAAATACAGTGTATAATGTATTCGCAATATAAATTTTCGAGTGCTTGTCATTTGTCAGATGTAAGTAAAATATTTGTTTGTAAACCGAAATAAAACTGTCACAATGCTGATAGATTCTAGATATAAAATGTTGCATTTATCGAATAATAACAAAATTTTAGGTCTTACGCTTGCAAAATAAAGAAAAATTTTATTTTGATTTTGCTATGCAACCTTTAACACCATATAGATTGCAATTTTTTTGTTTTTTTTTTTTTTTTTTGTATCATCGGCATCAACTGCTAAGGTTATTAGCCTCGTGTTCTGTGTAGGCTTTGTTACTGTTTCCCAGCGCCACTTTAGGAACAGCACTGTTAATTAGAACTCAACAGTGAATGGTTGAGTGGATTGCAATTTGTTGGGAATTTCTGCGCAAATTTCATTTTTAATAAAAACACTATCACACAATAGAAGAAATTAAATGGCGATAAATAAGGAACAATTCGAATTGATAATTGATACGAATTATACTTACTAATATATAAATGCGAAAGTTTGGATGTATGGATGGATGCATAAATGGATGGATGTACAGTTCATCAAATTTCTAGAGGCTTTCGACGGCTAGACAGAGACAGCACTACTGACAGGCATCCCGACGGATTTACGCAATGAAAGTACACTCTGCGCATCAAGTATTTCACTATTTCATTCAGACGTAAATGTCAGATGTAAATTTCGCTAAAACATTTCTTTTATTTTCGTTTGTGTTTTTTGCTCATTACAGTTTAATAGAACCTAAGTATGGAGTTTAATAGCAAATTAAGAGGCCGCGTGATTAACAGTCAATCTCGCGAAATAATAGCCAATGTTATAGAGTTTATGAGAAGAGAAGGAAACTTTAATTCACCTTCAATACCATTTAAAAATGTAAATGATCGTGTTGCTGCAGCCACAGGAGTATCTAAAAACACTGTCGTCCGCATTTCTGGAGAGAAGAAAAAGAATCGATAACCGTGAGATATCGGAATTTTCATCACCAAGAAAAACCATTAAAAAACCAAAAACAGTTAATGATATAGATGAAGCTGCACAAGAATCAAATTTTATTTTTTTATTATTAGATAGCTATTTTTGTTTCTGAGTTGTGTTCATTTACAGGCTCAATTTTTTTCCGTTTCTCCTTTTTGATTTTATATGGGGTTTCAAGTTGTTTTTGACTTATTTCGACGTAAATCACAACAACACATTTTTTTAATAAAGCAAACAAGTGTTATTAATTATTGTATATATTTTTTATTATGAATAAACATTATTATTATGAATAAACATTATTATTATATATGTACGTGTAAACTACAATTACAAAAAATTGATATGAAACCCATGAAACCACCAACAAAAATGTAAAGCTAGCTTCCGTACTAGAACATGGTGTCATTCGTCGAGATAATTTATCGTTCTGTTTAATAGATCAAGAAATGTAAATATTCCCCTGTTATTTTTTATAAAATTATAAGAGAAATAAATTTTTTTCTAAATAGTACCTATAGTTTATTATTTTGTAGAAAAACAAAATTTCGAAAATTTTAGTAATGTTTCAGAAACAACCGTTATTAATAATAGGTACCATTTTCCTTAATAAGGTAGAAATAAAATATAAACTATTTCTACGATTTACAAAGGGCTACAAAAAAATTATAGGTATTTTCCGCTATCCTATAAAATTTATATTTTCTGACTAAATTTCAAAAGGTTGAAGGAATTCCAAAACACCTTTTATGGTATAATAATTATTTTCAATTCTACATACTATCTTTAGCTGCTTTTAAAAACGTTCTAAGAAAGTCCAATCAGACCAATTTAATCCCTAAACTATTTCACACTTTTAAAATTTAATTACCTAAAAATATTAAAAACTATTTAAAATAACTTGTTTAGCAGACTGTACAATAGCTATCTTAGTCACACGTAGCGCGTTCTCTGTCTGGGCGTCGAACACCTCTAGAAATTTGATGAACTGTAAGAACAGTTAAACGGATCTGGATGAAATTTGGCACAAAGATAGATTATCGTCTTGAATAGCACATAGGCTACTTTTTATCCTTGAAGAATATACGCTTCCCGTGGGATAGATTTGTTTTTGTTTATCACAGACATGATTTTTTACATAGTGGTAGTGAAACAAGAAAATTTGAAATAAATAAATAATGACGTGTTTCAGGATTTTTGGATTTTTAGATTTTCACATTTTAAGGGGGGAAGGGGAGAAATGAAAGAAAGGAGAAATTAGGGTAAAAGGAGAAATTGGATGTAAAGGGGTAAGGCGAGTGAGGGGGTAAGGGGATAGAGGGGAATAAGGCGGAAAGTTTATGTATGTGTATCGCTTTTGTAAAGGTAGGAACTTGAAAATTGGAATTGTAGCTACTTATTATTAGTAAACAATGACGTATTTCAGGGTTTTTGGATTTTCACATTTTAAGGAAAGGGGAAATGGGAATATCGTAAAACTAAATAATAAATAAAAATAAATAAATAAAAATAAAGATAAAAAAAATAAAAAGATTTATAATAATAGAACAGGCCTTCATTATATTTTGAGTGTTTCACAAAGATATTTGGCGAGAGACGATGATACCTTAACGTACATTCCGGTCAAAAATCTACACCAGTGCAAACTTTTAGGACCTTTTAAAAAACTGTGCAGCGACCTATACTCGTTTCCAATATGTTCCCATGTGTGGCGCAACTATTTCGGAACTATAAATCATTACCGGACAATAATTGTGTTTTACGGAAAAGGCTACAATGTTCAAAAAATTGAGGAAAATAAAAATTAACTGTGAAAATTCGAATCTAAAGACAATGCAAATGCTTAAGAACTCAATATTAACCTTGCGATCAGACTGTTTCGCTTTTATCGGGGTAACAAAAGTGAAGGCTGGTTCAAAAACACTTTATCTAATATCGTATACGATCCTGAACCCGTATCAATAGACTTCGACTATTGTGATGATATTCCAAATCTGCCAATTCCCAATTTAAAAACACTACAATTGGCAAATATAACGTAGACGATTTAGCAGTCACCAAAAACCAATTGGACCAGTACTGAAAAGAAATTGACGACGTCATCAACAAATCCTTCGTGGAGAAAAACATTTCTCGGTTCACGTACTGTACCATTTGTTTCATCATAGGACTGGCAGTCTTATACCTGCTTTATCAGTTTTGGAAACATCGAAAACCAACAATACCAACACCACAAAATGACCCTCCGAAGAAAAGGCCCAATTTGTCTGAAGACACTGTTAAAATAGACGAAACACAAAAGGTTGAACTTTTTTAATTGCGTTAAATATCATTTAATTTTATTTTTTTTTTAGCCTTTGTCTTATTAAATACTAACTATATTTTATTTTTATATTTTTTCTTTCAAAAATTGCTAAGTTGCATTTCTTATAAATCCAATACTTTTGTCACCTTACACCTTTTTGCTGTTTCTATTGTTTTACCTTGCCTTATAAATAGGGTTGACACAAATTTAAGTCTTCAATTTATAACAACTCACCTACAAGAAACATACTTTATACTTTTCAGTAATAAAATATATTTTTTAAAAAAGTCTGTAGTGTTATTCAAGATATAACATACATATGGGAAATGCCATTCTGCTTATTTTGCTTAATTTACTTTTAACAATAGAATACGAGTGCAATTCTGCGAATTTGCATTTTTAAAATAATATTTTTATTTTATTATAATTTAGTTCATATTTAGCTTTGTAAATGAATATACCTTAAATAATTGTTTATTTTTTCTAAAATAATTTTTATTTAAAAAAGACTTCATAGTTATCCTATTATCCTAAAATCGTTTAACTGGCGCAGTCAGTAGGATTGTCACGACGAGAAACTACACAAATCGCGTTTTTAGGTCGATTTTAATTGTTTATGTGATCGCGAAGTTTTGGAATAAACGAAGTTATGAAAAATCGTTCTATTGTAGGATAAAATCGCCAAAGCCAAGATCAATTGGAGAAAACACAAAATTTCCAATTTCATCCTGAAGCCAAAATTTGGAAAAATTTCCATAAATCAGCTTGGGTCCAGTTCCGATGAAAGAAGGATACAATCGTCCGAATCCGTCTACCACTTAAACATTTTCAAGAAGTTCCAAAGGAAGTTCCAATGAAATTCCGATACTAGCACTGTAAGTCATAATTTTCATTTCTTTTTTATTATTCCTTGCTTATCTTTTTATTTCAAAGTGATAATATTGTTTTATGTTTTGTACGAATGGTATTTTCAATAATTAGTAATTTTTATGAGCTCAGATATGGACGATTTATTTAGTAGTTTTAACAGAATATTGTTAGAAGACGTAAACATTAACATGGCTTATATTAATGTAATTATTAAAATTTAATATTGATATTATTTCCTCTTATGAAGGAAACCCACATACTCTAGGAGTTTTCTTAGATGCTTGTGAAAATTTAATTACTAGTTTTTTCAATAGAAGTTATCCACAAATCAATAATTTTATTTTAAGTGCTATAATAGGAAAATTAACTGGAAGAGCTTTGACATCAATAGATTCTCGAATCGAGTTAATAACCTGGCATCGAATAAAAAGTGCTTTACAATTATGTTACAGAATTTAGAAGCTTATAAGAGGAACATAATACATTTATTGGCCATATATACAAATATTCGATATAACAAATGTAATTCAAGAGAGTGATAAAATTTCGATGAAACCTAATTAAATTAACAATTATTTTTCAAATATTTATCAAATAACACAATACACACAACATTTAAAACCGAATTTACAAATTCCTATCGACTATAACAATAAACAATAAAATTAAAAATCGAATAAATCAATTAAATCCTAAAATAACAAACAAAAATCGTAGACACAAAAGAGGACTAA